GGTGGCGGGCGAGCGCTGGGCGCCGCCGAGGTGCTCGACCTCTCAGCCCAGCGCTGGACCGTGCTCCCGCCACTGCCCACGCCACGGGCCGGCGCCGCCGCCCTCGCCCTGGGCAAGCAGATCCTGGTGGTGGGCGGCGTGGACGTGGCACAGAGCCCCCTCGCCTCTGTCGAGGTCTACCACGTGGATGAGGGCAAGTGGGAGAAGAAGGCGGCTCTGGCCCAGCCCTCCATGGGCATCTCAGCCGTGCAGAGAGGTGAGGGCTGGGGATGGGGCTTGGCTGTGAGTACCTCTACCGTTCGGAGAAGCGGGGATGCAGGGGTCGGGGATGCTCAGGTGGGATTTGAATCCTGCTGCTGCTTGGGATGCAGCACGCCAGCAGACGGACTCGCTGCTTAACAGCAGGGTCATGCTTGTGCCCCAGCAGCCCCGTTGCAGCCCAGGGCTGGGCAATGCGGAGCCCCTCTGGGCACAGGAGCCTTCCTCAGCTCCCCTGGCCAGGAGCCGTGCCGGGGCAGCCGAGCACCCTGCTCCAGTCCAGCTCGGCATGCTGTGTGCCAAGCATGTTTTGATTCCTGCCCAAACTTTGCTGAGCAGCCTCCGAGCCTTGGCACAGCCTGGCAGCCTGTGTGCTAGGGGCCATGTCTGCTCCCTGGCTGGGGACGACGTGGCATGGCCCCGGGCTGCAGCGGGGTGGGCAGGGCAGAGGGGCCGGCAGGGCAGCGGTGGGAGCGGGCAGGGGTGCCGGCCGCGCCGGGAGCAGGAGCAGGATTTGGCAGCATGGCTGTGTTGCCATGGTGTCTCCAGGGAGATGGTACTGCCGAGAATAATTAGAGCCGATGGCCTTGTGCTCCGCTCTGTGCCTGATGGATGGGGTGGAGAGTGGGGCAAGGAGGTCCCAGTGGGGTCAGGGCACTGCCAGCCTCAGGCCTGGCCGTGTTCACCATCCCCTGGCCACCCCAGAGTGGCAGCTGGCCGTGGGGCTTGGGAACGCCCGTGCTGCCTGCCCTGCAGGGCATGGGGGGGCTCCCAGCCCCACGGCACTGCCCATGGCTGTCCCCAGCTTACTGCCGCCTCTTTTGCAGATGGAGCCGTCTATGCGCTGGGGGGAATGGGTGCAGACACCTCTCCCCAGGCACTAGTCCGCGTCTACGAGCCAGCGAAGGACCACTGGCAGCCCCTGCCCTCCATGCCCACCCCCTGCTACGGGGCCTCCGCCTTCCTGCAGGGCAACAAGATCTTCGTCCTGGGTAGGTGCCGCTGAGGCTAGCCGAGCATCCTCCTGCGCCCCTGCCCTCTCCCTCTGCTGCCTCCCTGGACTGGGGGGTGACCTGGTGCACCCCAGGGTGGCTCTGTGCTGTCCTCCCGCCCCGGCACTGCAGCCGGCGGGCCCCATCCCGCTTGCTGAGCCCACCGATGGTGCTGGCTCGGGGCGCCGGCAGGCGCAGCGTCTCGTCTGTGTGCAGGGGGCCGGCAGGGCAAGCTGCCCGTCACTGCCTTCGAGGCCTTCGACCTGGAGACGAGGAACTGGACACGCTACCCCAGCGTGCCCAGCCGCCGCGCCTTCGCTGCCTGCGCCATGGCCGATGGTGTCATCTTCAGCCTGGGGGGGCTGCAGCAGCCGGGGCCCCACAATTTCTATTCCCGTCCCCACTTTGTCAACACCGTGGAGATGTTCGACCCCGCACAGGGTGAGCTCCGTGTCCCTGGGTGGGGTGGGAGTGTCCCCTGCAGGTCCAGGATGCCTCCCTGGGTCTTGGTGAGGGGTGTCCATGCCTAAGGGACACGGTTCATCCGGGCTCCGACCATCAGCCCCTTGCACCCATGGCGAGTCCTGCCCTGCACGCCCTGGCCCTGGGGAGCCGTTAGCCTGGGGGTGTCCTTGCCTTGGTGTGCGGAGAGGAGCCCCGGCGGGCGAAGCTCACACCCTCTCGCCCCCAGGTGCATGGAGCAAGCCGAGCCGTGCCACCCGCATGAGGGAGAAGAGAGCTGACTTTGTGGCTGGCTGCCTGGGAGGAAGAGTGGTGGCCATGGGTGGCCTCGGTAATGCTGGGGGTGGGCGCGTGGCCGTGTTCCCATCCCCGTCCTTTGTGGCACATCAGTGACCTGCGCGGCAGCAGGGAGGTCAGCTGTGCAAAACCATGGGGGCACTGCAACACCGTCTGCAGCCGCGTCCCTCCTGTGCCCCCCAAGTGCTGGGGGGACCCTACTGCCCTGCCCCACAGGCTGCCCCCACTGAGCCTCTTGCCCCTTTCACAACCTGGTCAGGCTTTCCCCAGCTCATGTGCAGTGTGCCGGGCTCGCGCAGCCCACGCTGGCTCAGCCCCACCGCACAGGGCTGCAGCACCACATCCCTCTCCCGAGAGAGCTGGGGAAAGGTTAGTGCTGTCACTCAGCAGCGGGGATACAGCGGGGAGGCCTGCCCGGGGAGCCCGGCGCCGGCTGCAGCACCCCCAGCCGTGCAGCGAGGGCTGCCAGACCCCGCCGAGCTCGCCCGGGGCGAGCCAGACCTCCTGCTGCAGGGCAGGAGGAGGTGATGGGGAAGGCGAGCAGTGCTGGCTGGATCCCTGCGGCGTGGCATTGCTTCTCAGCCCTGCCGCAGCTGGAGCTGCCCTCCCTTATCCCCCAGTGATGGCTGTGGGGTGCCGGCGCCAGGGCAGAGCCAGCAGTGCGGCATCGGTGCCAACAGCCCTCCCTGTGGGGATGCCACTAATCCTCTTGTGACCCTGCTCATGGCCTCTGGGACTGCAGAGCCCCCGCAGCCCAGGGCTCGGGGACCAGCTGCCGCTGGGGGCTCCAGCTGGGGCATCAAAGACATGTGAAGGGAGAAAGGCAGAGCCTGGGGTATGGGGAGGGCTGCAGGGGGGTTGATGCCGTCCCGTCTCCCGCAGGGAACCAGTCCTGCCCACTGAACTCGGTGGAAGGATTCAGCCTCGCACGGAAGAAGTGGGAGCCGCTGCCCCCCATGCCCACCGGCCGCTGCTCCTGCTCCAGCTGCCCGGCACCCAGCCTGCTCTTCGTCATTGGCGGGGTGGCCCAGGGCCCCAGCGGTGCCGTCGAGGCTCTGTGCCTGCGCGAGGCGCCCTGAGCGGGGCCCCGGGGACCAGCCCCGGCCGAGCACCAAGTGCCTGAAGACGGAGACAGGGTGTGCACGTGCCCATGCGTGTGGGTGACCCAGCTCCGGGGAGCCACCATCCCATGACGCCGGGTGCCAGAGCAGCTGCGGTTTCTCACCATTCTTTGGAAACCCCTCTCGGTTCCGACACCGCTGTGGCAATGGAGCCCAGGGCAAAATCCTGCCTGGCGGGAGGGCCACGGCTGGCGGCGTGGAGGGAGCGGCGGCAGGACTGTTGCTGGCCGCGCTGCCCCATCCGGCCCCGTCCGTGCCGCGGCATGTCTGTGCCGTGTGTGTAGCAGTGAGTGCTGTGTCGTCGTAGACCCAGTCGATGTCTCATGTAGCACAGAGATGCCCTGTAGCTCAGTGCCTAGGAGGTGACATAGCACCTCAAATAAATGAAACACGTGGAATTTTACCCCACTGGAGTCGTGTCATCCCTGGTTATCCTGCTCCGGGCAGGGACATGCTGCAGCCTGTTGGGAAAAACCCCTCCCAAGGGAGAGCCTGGCCAGCCCTTCCCCAGTGGGGCCCTGTGCCGTGGGGCCCTGTGCCATGGGGCAGGGATGCCTCTTGCTCCTTTCCCCACTGCCAGGGTGAGCGGAGCAGTGCGATGTAGGGATCCGGCCCTCTTTTTGGAGAGGGAGAGCCGAGCGGCGGCTGCCCTGCCTTGGCACAGCCTTGCTCCTGCTCGGCCTCTCCTGTGGGCAAAGGGGCTGCGGGGGGGTGAAGGCAGCAGCAGGAGAGGGGCTTTGTCAGAGAGAGATGGGGTGCGAGAGCAGGCAGGGAATGGCAAGGGTTGCCAGGATGCTGAGATGTAAGATGAGATGCCTAATGATGCCGGGGCTCCTGGGCCCCATCCAGCACCACAGCCCTGTCTCAAAGGATGGAGCACGGTCTGGTGCCTGGGAGAGCTGGGTCCAGCTGTGTCCAGCTCTCCCGGGCAGGAACATCACATCTCCTGCTTACCGGCACCAGGAAGGGAAGGTAAGCTCCGTACCGGTGGTGTCTGTGGGTGACATTTAGGGGTGCACAGTGAGACCGGTGGGGGGGTGTGGTGTGATCCCCCAGTTGCCCAGTGCCGTGGGCTTGCCTGAGCCTCGTTGGTCTTTGCTCCATGTAGAGTCACGTGCCCCAAAGCAGAGAGCAGCAGTAGCAGATGCAGGCGAGGGATTCAATCTTTCACTGATACGTTAGACAGATCTCACAGGTCTGGGTAAATATCAAGCGCGGATGCCTGACCTTTCGGAGAAGACAGCCGGCGCGATCCTCGGATGGGTAGCAGGGCCGGAGAGATAGGAGGCCAGATCCCAGCAGAGTGCAGCAGCATCTGGCACACCACTGGGGCAGGCTGTGCCGTCTGCTGGCGGCGTTGCGGCGTGGGGAAAGTTGGAAACGATTCAGAAAAGTGCACTTGCAAGATGTTTTCGGTGTCGTTGCCCCATCGCCTCCACTGCCCGCCCAGCGCAGTGACCGCGGGGTCCGTCCCGACGTGCCACATGGCTGTTTGCCTGCATTTTGGGAGGAACATCCCGGGATACCTGGGCTGGCGGTACCTCGGCTGAAGCCATCCCTGCATCTGCCTCTGGAGTTGCCATAGAAACCACTGCTGTGCCAGAGCCAGCATCAACAGGGAGCCCTGAATTAGTGATTGAGCCGTACCTCTGCAGCTGGGGGGATGTGCCGGCAGCCAGAGAAGGTCAGCAGCTTGCCCTGTGCTGGGGGGCTGGACAGAGGGACCCCCTCCTCTGAGCACAATGTGGCTCCAGCCTTCTCCTATGAATATTGCAGCAGTGCCCCATTTTCACAGTGCTCCCTGATCTGTGCTCAGCCCTGGTGGACTTTTCCTTCCCGGAGTCCTGGGAGGTGACAGACCCCTCAGTGCCACCTCGGTACCTCTCCCCAGCCTGCCAGCCCTTTCCAGAAGCCACCGAGGCACGTAATAATATAACGCAGACCTGATTAATAAGCTTTTCCCACAGGAGCATCGCATGGACGGGATAAATCAGACGCTGAGTCACCAGCAAATTGACATCCCTGCGTGCCAACTTCACAGCTTTCCCTCCTGCTGATGGGGTGCCCAGTGCTGCTTTTTCCAAATTCAAGGCGACGCCGGCTGCACGAGCTGGGAGATGCTGGAGGGGGAAGCTGCGGCTTGGGAGCCCCTCACTGCTGCAGTGTTTCCAGCAGTGGGGCTGACGGTCCCTGCCCCACAAGGGGTTTGCCTCTTTCTTGGCAGCACCTTGCCTTGTGCATGCGATTGCCCGGCACATCGACCCGCTGCAGTGCTGTTTGGCTTGGTTCTTCCACCCGAGGCGAGCAGAAACCCGTCACCTCTCCTAAAAGTGTGGATTTCTCATTATTTTCTATCTCCGCTTCTGGGCACAGGACCAGGATCCCATCCGAATGAGGGGAGGAGAGCAGCCAGGACGATGGCCAAGGACATCTCGGGGTGGATGGAGAGATCTTCAGGCAAAGGGATGATGGTGCTGACCACCCTTGGAGACCGACACGTTATTAACTGAAGAGCTCCTGTTGAGTTTCTAATGAAATGCGCTACGAAGAAAAAAAAGTTGCGGGACGTACCAAATATATTGCTCTCTATCTCCTGGCAGCTTCTGCTAATTTTTACTAAATGAAAGGCTTCAAGTATCTGGCCACACTCCCTAACGCTAGAAGCACAGTCTGTTACTTCAGATATAAGGAGAGCTACGAGCCAGCGCCTGGCAATGTGGCTAATCTCCCCGGAGCGTGTTATGGATGGGGGAGACTAGAACTGGAGGTAGCTGTCAGACCTATTAAAAAAATGTGTTTCCTTATAGAAATTTCTTTCTGTTGTCAAGAGAGATGGAAATACAAAAATCTCATTTATCATATTCCACAAACTCGGTAGACGCTCAAACCAGACAGCTCCAGCCACACCAGAAATAGCAATAGCTCTGTATAATAACCTAAAATAACGTGCCGAGCCTTATCGCCAGTGCGCAAAGCACCGGCAAATCCTTTCCTAAGGGCAGTGGAAGTGCTGTAAATGGATACAGGGCTCTACAGTCTCTTCGGAAGGGAGTTCTGGGCCAACTTTCCAATTACGAGCAACAAAATGATGGAAAATCACCATTTATGATGCAGGGCCATATAGGACCTGGACGCACAGCAAGGCTCTTGGCAGCAGCGCCACGCACCGAGCTGTACAACGGAGCTGTAGGCAGTTCAGGAGCAGAACAAGGCTTTTATTTACTCAACAAGCGCAATAAACATTAATGTTCCCGTCAGCACAGCTCTCTGGAGGAAGGTTTGCCTTCCAGCCCACGGCTGCCTTGGAAGGCAAACCTTCCCATTATCCCATCCCTGAAGCAGAAACACGATCCAGGCTGCGATTCCCCGCTCTGGTCCTAGAAAATCAACCCATTAGAGGCTCGTCGTGCAGCTGAGAGTTAACAAGCCGCTGTGATAAATTCGAGCTATTTATACCAGCCCTGGCGCTGTACCGACAAGCAAAAACAATGCAGCAAAGTCACTCCAAGAAGTTTTTTATGGGTAAAAGTCCAGAATTATTTAATTTTTTTTAAGTGAAAGCTTTATTTCTGCGGGATTTGATTAGGAAACCAGATATATACATCAAGAAAGCCATTATTTTGACACTTCTGAGCTCCAGGCTGCCTTTAATACTAAAGCCAAAAGAGCAAAAAGGGGAATGTGAGTAGTTCCCCTAATCCATCCATGAATTTATATTAACCTTATTTCTACAGTGGTTTAGTGCTTATGGAGTATCTTCAGAACCAGCAACCAAACATTTTAACCAGTACTGAAAATGTTTTGAATTAAAGGAGAAAAAAACAGGCAAGTAAGCGTGCCCATTTTCCATTCCTGAAGACGAAGGATACAGAAGCACAAGGAAAAAATTCCAGTAAAACCATATTTGAGAATCTTTCTCTGGGGAGTGTTTAGATGACAGGTTATTTTTGTCATACTTCTAATGGGTGAAACTAAATTGTTCTGCGTTTCTGTGAGTTATTTACACGACAGACCACACAGCCTCTGGACATGAAGTAAATGGGCGCCATGGCCGCCGCGCTACCAGCCCTCGGCGCACCAGGCTCCAGGCCCTCCTCTTCCTCCCCCTGCCCCGTGATGGCTGCCGTGTGCCTGAGGGTCTGCTCCCAGGCGGAGGGGTGGGTGGGCAGGGCCCGGCCGGGAGCCTGCCGTGGGCAGCCTGGGGGGAGCCCAGAGCTGGGGCTGATCCTGGGGCTGATCTGGCCTCGGGGTGAGATCCAGGGACCCCCAGCCCCAGGGTGATATCCGGGGACCCCCAGCCCTGGGCTGACCCCAGGGACCCCCAGCCCCGGGGCTGTGAGGCTGGGACCCACAGGCTCCCGTGAGGCCCCGTGGGGCAGGCAGGCCCGGCGGGCGGCTGCACCCCGGGCCCGTGGGGAGCCACTGGGCCCAGGCCTGGGGCGGCCATGTCGGCCAGGCCTGCCCTCGGCCTGCGGGGCTGTGGCCCCTCCCGGC